CGCGTCGCTCGAGCCATCGAGGCAAGCGATGTTAGCTCAACCCCTCGGTTACGGAAACCACGGACGGGGTGACGCATGAAACACGACCGACCCCTACTGACCCCAACGGGGCTCGGGGGCTTGGGCCGCCCGACCCCGACTCGGGAATCTAACCGACCGCGTAGGTCGCGGGCGGGACAAACACGGGCGACACCTCGACCGGCAGGAACACAGGAGTCTGCGGCTCTAGGAAAGAGTACTAAGGTGCTCAGCCTCTGACCGACTCACCAGTCGGCCACAGGCTCAGGGGCTACATCCACCGGGTGCGCTCAAAGCACCCGGTGGAAGATGGACTACCGACGAGTTCCCCCCTTTGGGGGCTAGGCGCCTATGTTTACTTGGCGTGCCTCCGTGGCCTTCGCCAGTCCCCTCGTCAGAGGCTGGGTGCCAACATCCCTCCGGCGCGACTCCGCGGCCTTCGCCAGTCCTCCCCATGGAGGCTGGGCGCCTAAATCCTACTTGGTTTCCCTACGCGGTATAACAAACCAAGGGGGAAAACACCGAAGTTCCAATAAACAGCCCGCCTCCACGGCGCAATGGGCACAAGAATTACAAAGCAAATACAAGGTTTCATTAAGCTAAAAACACAAGCCCTAGGCTTTTACAATAACACACAAAGCGTGTGTGAACAACCCCGGGACTGCTCCGCACCTTGGAGCATGAAGCGGAACAAGGGAGCCAAGATCCTTGTTCTCCCGCTACAATGCTCTCCCTCTCTCGTCCTCTGATCCAGAATCCGGGACGGGGCCCGTTCGAGACGTATGATGCTCTCTCCTAACGAGAGATCTTCTAGTATCATACTCCCGTGTGCCCTCAAAAGCGGCAACTCAACAGCCCCTTCACGGCTTCACAGAAGCCCCAAAAGGGGCTTGGGGGCTCCTGTCGGGTTCATAAACCCAGGGCCCCCAATGGACCCGCTTCCCTGCAATACTTGGCCCAGCAGGCGGCGCAGCGACAGCGCGTGTCTGGGCTGACCCAGATACACAATGACAGGCCGAGACCATGATCCGGTCCTCGACCAGTACCTCCGGCCAGGAAACCTGGTCGGAGCCCCGACCGGAAGGCCTGGCCGTGGTGGGACCGTAGTCCGACTTTGACCTTGTTCCTCCGGTCGAGGATATGCCAGACCTTTGCTCGCCTCTCTTTCTCGACCGACACGGTCGGGGCCGACTGGGAACGACTGACCAGGACACCTGCTCGGTGTGGGCCCGGGGAGCAGGCGGAGCAGATAAGGTAAGACGCTCAAGTCAACCGCAATACCAAGGACCGTACCCTGTCATGCCCTGCGCACCTGCAGGACGGTGCCGTCAAGCCATGTCAAACGGACACTATACAGTCTGCCAGACGTGTCAGAGCACAAACAGTATTGTGGGCGCCATCGTTTGCGGTCCCAGGCGAACACTATGCAGCCTGCCAGGTACAGCAGGTCATGAATAGTAAGGTGGGTGATGGCGGCGTAAACAGTATGGCGGGTGATGGCATGCCGTACCCGACGGCGTGGGCGACAAGATTAGGTAGCATCCGTACACACTCTCTCCCTTTCCGTCTTTGACTTGTAAGGCCATACCCTTCATCTGTAAAAGGTGATGCGCTATCTCCTAAAATGACATAGTCTACATGCTCTCAACAGCGAATAAGTTTGGACACACAGAGCATACGCTCTAATACTTAGCGCACATTTGAGCATCCGTCACTCTCTTCCACTCGGATCAGAGTCCGACCGGGCCTCTAACACCCTCGTTCTCATTCCTTACTCGTTTGTAACCCCACAGCAAACTTCGAGCACCTGGGCTCAGGAATAAAATCATCGACCAACTGAAACTGGATGTAGGGCACGTTGCCTGAACCAGTATAAATCTTGTGTCATCGTGTGCTAGGCCACATCCGATCACAGCGCACGGCAAAACTACAAATATTTACTTATCGGTCACATTTCGCGACACACACAAGTTATTTCTTGATCCGTATAGGAGTACACTTTCTTCATTCCACTTCAAGAACTCGACAAGATCTTTTATTAACTGTACTTTTGTAAGTCACGCTTGCATCTTTTTCTTATCCTTTGATTAGTATTGATCATGATGGTGCATTTCTATTGTGCCATGGTCAATACTAGGATAGCATAAGAGCTACCCAAACTTCTCTCGCTATGTGGGATACAAAAACATATGAGTCATCACAAAACTTCTCCCACCATGCAGGATTGACTAGCATAAGTACTATGCCAAACTTCTCCCCATGCGGGATAAATCTATATACAAATTATCGTAACGAAAAATTTAGTTATGGTGACTAAAGCATTCATGTATACTTCATTTTCCAATTAAATCTTCCCGTTGGTTTCAATTTAATCAGAAAATGAGTAAACTAACAAAAAGGTGTCCTAAACCGGCTTAACTCAAGCCTTTTCATTCACATACCCCAGTATTGCAGCCTGTTGGCATGCAGCCGAGTGATCTTGTCGGTTAAAAAATAATACGTACAAGATGCTTCGGCATCAATTCTATATCATCGTTGGACAGAAAATAGAATTAATGCATAAAACTCATAAATCAACTCGAAATACATATAACTACTCTTTAAAATTAAATTCTCCCGCTGGTTCGAATTTAATTAGAAGATAATCAACATCATTGTAGCGGAAACTGGATAATAAAATACATTCTTTTAGTTCAGGAGCATTTCTTAGTTCTTATCTACTCTTTGAAAAATTGACCACGTTGGTGTAAAATTTATCAGAGATTTAAACTTCAAACTTAAATTTATTATAATATTGTTATCATCAATGTTGTCAGAAAATAACAATATCATAATTTAACATAAACAAAACAGACTACTCCTCTAATTTAAATTTTCTCGTTTGTTCCAATTTAATTAGAGGATAAACATAATTATAATTTACTAAATGTAACTGCTCTTCGAATTAAATTCCCTCGTTGGTTCGAATTTAATTGGAAGATAATCAACATTAAACTTTGCAGCGGAAACATGAAAAAATTCTTTATCTACTTTTCAGAAGCTTTTTACTGTACTTATTTACTCTCTAAAAAAATTATCCTATTGGTTCAAATTTTGACAGAGATTTAAATTTGACAAAAATCATCAAAATTTGCTTCTGAAAATAATAAAACCAAAACTCAGTCTTTACTGTTCATTCGGCCTGGCCTGATGAAACCGTTCGTGGCCCATTCAGCCGCGCGCGCCGCGCTGTCCCCGCGCCCAGGCCGCTACCTGGGCCTGGGCCAGGATTCTCCACACCCACCGGGGCCAAATCCGGTCCGAGTTCTACCGACCGTTGGATGGAGATCGACGGTCGTCCGTGGGTTTTGCTCGGAATAAAAACGGCGTCCACGGCCGCGCTCCCGAAACCCTAACCTCATTTCATCCCTCGCCTTCTCTCTCTTCGCCACAGCCGTCGGCTTGCTCTCCCCCTTCTCACCCGAAACACGGTGACCGGAGAGGAGTTATGGCGCCGTCGTGGCGCCCTTCGCCGGTGCACGCGTGCGGCCGAAGCCGCGCGCGGCGCCGCGGTGGTGCTCTTTGCGCTCCCACACGCGCTCTTCCCTAAACCCTAGATCCCTTTCTCCTTTGTCAGCCCTCAAAGCAGCAGATGTGGGAGAAGAAGGGCGGCGCCGCCGCGGGTCACCTCACCGGAGCGCGCGCTCCCTAGTGGGTGAGCGCACCGCCGTCGAGCAGTCCTGTGACGGTGCCCTCGGTCGGGGCTTGCGCGCACGGCGACGAGCGCGGCGGTAGTGATGGCGACGAGGAACCGTGTAGGTCCTCCCCTTTCTCCGTCCATCCATCTAGGGTTAAGATTAGGGTTAGGGTTAGGGTTAGGGTTGGGGTTCAATCCGATTCATCTCCTTGATTTCTTTTCACTTTTCTACCCTAGTCTAGATCTACGTACTAGAAACATGGGTCTGATACCATTGATAGATTTTTAGGACCATCTAGGCGTAGATCAGTGGGTAAAACTTGACTTAGATGGGAGACTTGGTGATGTACCTCGTCGGACCGATGTCGTGGCCATGGTGCCGCAGTGATGCTCGGAGTAGAGGAAGCGGCGACATGGAGCCGCGGTCAGTGGCGGCGGCGACTGCGATGGCGCTTCCCGTCGCTCCCAACACACCCTCAGGATCGGTCTAGGGTTAGGTCGTCGGTGGGACGCTGGTGGTTGTGGTCAACCTCATACCTTGCGCCCCGGCCCCCTCCTTCCTCTTTATAGTGCTGCGCGACTGAAGCCCACCAGCCAGAGAACGGCTGGGCGCCCCCGATCAGGACGCGGATCAAGGGCTCAATTGGCCATTGGGCCAACTTGATCGAGATCAACCTAACAAACTTCACCTGACGTTATGTCTTAGGAACTGCTTCCGGACCTGCTGATTGCTTGGTTCTTGCCAATGGGATGGTACATCATGGTTGTCGGTCAAGGCTAAGATTGCAAGGGTGTGTAGTACCGGAGATGTGCGTTTCTGGAGGGACAAGGGAGGTATCTCTGAGTTAGGGACAAGGGACAAGGGAGGTATCTCTCGGTTTGTCAAATGGAGAGGCAATGACGCAATCTATTGCTGGGCATCTCTCTGACGCGTTTCACTTAACAAAGCATCTTCTCTGCATTGCAGGCGTAGACAACCAACAAGTCGACAACACACGATCAGTAGTGTGGATTCACTTGTTCATAGCTCATTAGATCCAACCGTCCAAGTTGTTGCCTGGCTTGATTTCTGGACACATATGTCACTGGCTCGATCTCTGATTCCATTTGATTTTTTTTAAATAAAACTGCAAGAATCCCAATTCCCAAATGTGTTTTCAATAAAAAAAAAAGCTACTGTAGAAACCAAAATACACGAGAGCTGTTCTAATAATAACTCTATTTAGTGTTAGGAGCACGCGCGAAGCATTATTATTTTTTCGTCACATAACTGATCGGTTGCTTCGCGCATGTACCTGAAAATGCCCTAGCGATTCGAACAGCGCGCCCTGCGGAGGGCGCCCGCCGGCGGCGGGTCGAGCCAGAGCGCGCAAATCGGCCTGACCGTGTACCTGAACGGGAGCCAGCGGCCGAAGTTGAGCTGGACGTAGAACTTGCCTTGGAGGTGCATCTCCACGAGGCCGCCGCCAGTGGTGACGTTCTTCCACACCTCGGCGTCCTCCTGCGTCATCACCACCTCGCTGACCACCAGGTGCACGCTCCGGAGGGCGGAGTCGCCGGGCTTCTGGTACAGCGGAGGCCACACCGCCTGCGTCCCGATCAGCCTCCCCTGGAAGTAGAGGTCCAGCTGCATGTAGCGCAGGACGACGTCGACCTTGGTGTTTGGGTTGTAGATGGCCGCCAGCACGTAGAGGTCGAAGTTGAGCGCCTTGCCCAGGTGCGGCGGCGGGAGCTCGTCGATGTACCCGGCGTTGAGGGTGGCCGTGCTCACGTGGATCCGGGGCGCCTTGGGGTGGTACAGGAGGTACACCACCAGGATGGCGAGGCCGATGCAGACCACCAGAAGCCAGAACAGGATGCAGCACAAGGTGAAGCAGAACGCCAGTGGCTTCCTCGCGTTCTTCTCCTTCCTCCTCCTATCCGTCAATAGCATCGCCCGGTTCTTCGTCCCGGACGGCGACTGCTTCGGCGGCACATAGGCATGCGCCCCTTCCGGCTGCTGATGCTGACGTGGCTCCGGCTTCGGTTGCGGATGCTGAGGCACACCATGCGCTTGCGGCGTCGGCGCTGGACTCCCACTCGCACCCGGCATTGGCTCCAGCGTGCTGACGCGCTCGATGGTCTTATTGGGCTTGAGGCCACTGCGCCGTGGTAGTTGCGGTGCCGGTGCTCCTCCCGACGAGTCGGGGACGTCACCGGTCGGCGATGCAGCTGTTCCGGGGCTGGGGATGCTGCCCCGCGGTGGCAGCGCCCCTCCCGCTGCTGCGGAGTGACTTGCCGCCTGCGGCGGTGCAGCTCCTCCCAGCCCGGCACGGCTACCCCAGCGCCGCGTTGGTGTTGACGCCGGCGGTTCCTCCCGGCCGCCTCCGCGCCGGTACTGTCCGTACACCTGTGCCTGCTCATCGGCCGCCGGCTCTTGTCTCCTCTGTGACACAGGCTTGTAGGTCGGCACGGGGCGCTCTGTACGCACCTGGGGCCGGGCAGTGTCCCCGGCACCGTCGCCCTGCACTGTTGCAAAGCGAATGCGGCCAGTCCCCGGATGAGGCGGCGCCGCATGGGCTCCGCGAGCACCGATGGACGGCTTGCCGTCGCCACCGCCCGCCTGCGGTGTCACCGGCTGTTTGCTCATGGCTATAGCTGGGCAAGAGCAGAAGCAAGCAAACGGAGAAGTACCAGCACTATGCAAGAAGGGAGTGACGGAATGGAAAGGAATCAAGGAGTGGTGTTCCAAGTGAGCGAGGATGCAGTTGGCACTTGACACTTACAAGAAGACGAAGCAGAGGAGGAAGAAATGGGCGGGAGCGAGAATTTTGGAGGGAAAGAGGGGCAAGCAAGGAATCGTTTGATTTGTAACCAGGGCAAGCAACTTAGCCACGCTCCATCTGAGCTGCTTAGTTATACTACTAGCAGCAGTGCAGCACCACCGTGTAGGCTGTAGCCAGGAATTTTGCGTTGGCTTGACAAGAGAGTTTCCTTGCCACCGCCGAAAACCTTGCTCCATCTGAGCACTCTGCTTGAAACTGAAAAATGGCTGCAAGCATGTACTGCAAAAAGCGCTTTCTGTCGACGGCCATGGGGAATTGCCATGATCCATGGAAATCGTACTGCTTTTCTGATGTTTTGATGCCGTTTTTCTTCGCGGTCTTGCTTGACAGTTAAGGCTGCGTTCTTTGGTCTGGGATGCAAAGGTTTTTGTTTCTCTGTATGTACGTGACGCATTCGGCATTCGTATGCCAATGAAGAGCTCATGTACACAGCCCATGTGAGCTCACTATACTGGGCTCCCTTTTCCGCTCCAAGCCGAACCGGAAGATCTAGCCCACCATGGCCCAAAGGTCCACACGGACGTCTCGCCCCCCTCTTTCTTGGGGGTCTCCTCTTTCTTTCCATTTCCACTCCGCATCGCCACTTCGATTCGGCTCACTGCGCCCCCCACAAGCCACAAAACCCTCCTCTTCCAGAAGCAGCGCGGCGGAGAGGAGCGGAGAAAGCGCTGTCCAGTAATTGGGTCGCCTTGCCCCCGTTCGCAGGCCATGGGGTTCGAAATGCGGCAATGTGGTGCCACTGGTGCGGATCGCTGTTTCCCTTTTGTTATTATGCTCTGGTCTTTGTAAATGATGCTTGCTAGCGATCGTGTTTTTCTTATTGGAAGTGCGTCGCATTGTTATTAGTCTGTTTTTTAGTAGGACATGTTGGATGCAATGCACTAAACGTAACGTGACCTATTCAAGCAGTCCAATCCCGACGTACTCCTTGCTCCTTAGGGTTCTTGATCGATGCAGGGTTCCCTGGTGATCCTTTATGCCATTGATCGATGCAGGGTCCCCTGGTGATCCTTTATGCGATTGTTTAGTGGGGTGAGGGTTTTCATAACCCTTTTCGTTATGTTTGGTATCTCCTGCGCGAGTCTTAATACAACTTATCTGTGGGCTACAGTGAATGTGTGTTGCGCCTTCCTTGCTTCTTCAGTAAAGTTCCGGCATTGGTGTGATTGAACCATAGTTTGATGAACATAGGGTTGGATGATTAGTTTAGTTGTTGTGCTAGTGATAAGCTGACAATTTTGAGGGTGACAAGCTTAAATTATAAACATAAGGTTTCGAGGAACGATCTTGTGGTGCCATAATATAATGGTGCTTGTGTAAACCTGAATCTGCAATTGCTTTAATGCCTGTACTTTTCAACCTTGATTTATCATTAGTTTGTTTATTTTTGCTTTCAAGCTTTAATGTTTTATGTTATACATGGATATGGGCACTGCCAGTGGTCTTGTTTTGTGTGGATAAATATTCTTAATACCATGTTTCTTGTAAATTGTGGCCCCCATATGTAACTATGGATGCTAAAGTCTTATCCTTTTTTTTGTTAAAAAACGTACTACTAGTTCCAGGAGTGGTAGTCAGACCTGGAGAAACTGTGAAGTGTGACCCAGGGGACTTCTTTTGTCATATTTCACAGGTCAGTTTTACAAGTTTTTGTAATGATTGCGCTTTCCTTTTGGTTTATTTGAGGGTAGATCCTATTTATTTACTGTTTGGCTGTTGGAACTGTAATACACAACAGATAGCACTACAGGCTGGCAAGGGGAATGAGGATGTGAGGATCTTTATGAAAGTTGATGGCAGAGAATTTTTGATCGCCACACTTTCAGATGACAAGTACCCTCACCATAAAACTGATTTGTATTTGGAGGAGTTTGAGTTACTACACAGCTCAAAAACCAGAAGCATCTCTGTTATTGGCAACAACTTCAGCAATCTCGAGATAAAATATCCTTTTTTGTTTCTTCTATGCTTACAGAGAAGCTCAAGTATGAAATTGTGTTCCTTAACTGCTTGTCCTGTCTTTATCCACATCTGACACTTCTAGCGAACAAGGTAAATGCTGCTTTTGTTCTTGTTGTATAGAGATCTCTGATACCTTTTCTGCCCACTTAACACAATTTCATAAAAAAATGATGTTTCAAAAAAAAATCTACCCACTTAACATAATCTTCATAAAAAATGATGTTTCAAACAATGAATCTGATGAGGAGATTCTATTGGCTGTTCCACTATACCCAAATGCAGATGGTATATCCTTTGTTGTACATAACAATTGTTGTTTCAGGGTTAAAACTGATTTGCTTCTTTCGAGTATATGATGACTGATTCAATTTGCGTGATTCATATATATTTTTGGTTTACACTGCAATTCTTCTTCTTGTATTTGTTCGTGAAACTACTAAAATGGCTTATTTGAGCTGCCAAGTGGATCAAATCATACACTTGTTTAACATTGTTTACACTTGTTTATCATTGTTTAACATTGCTGCACCGCCAGGGCCTACTGCTATTCAGTCATCTACCTTGGAGGAGACAATGGACCCTGGGAAATTGCAAACTGATGTTGGTTCCTCTGATGATGATGACAGTGATGAAGACTATGTTGATTCAGAAGAGGGTGAAACTAGTGATGATGAGGTTTGTTAAACAGCTACTATTTTCTGAATATTTTTGTTGTTGCTCTCGTCCTTCTATAATATCTGTTGACATAATGGTACATGAATTCAGTGAACAACCAAGCGCTAGGCACTATAAATTATTACTGAAACTCTGAAAGAGGCTTAGCTAGGGGTCATCATGCATTTGGCTAAATTTCTTATGTGTATGATTCTATGTTTTCCCTGTATTTATTAAACTAGTACTGTTTGTGGATCTGTTATTCGATTACTGAATAGTAAACCTAATGGTTGATCAAGGACCTTATACCTTGTTCATGACTAAAATTGGCTCTGTTATTGTACACACTAAGTGGAAGTAATGAATTCCATCTTCCATGGCTCTAAGCACTAATGGAGCTATGTAGGGGGCCATAGTGGGCTGTGCCCCCCCCCCCTGCCATCCAACCATCCAATTTTTGTTGAGCTAGATATATTTAGAAGCAATCTGAAACAGGGAAAACATATCAATTAAGCAATGATGGCCTTTCCTAGCGCAGAGCAGCAGTGAGCACAATCGCTCATCCTCAATTCTTCATCTCGCTGTTAGTTCTCAAGGATTTGATGTTTAGGCATGCTAGAAGGGGAAATGGAGTAGTAATAGTAATATGGTATAGTTTTTTTTACTTGTAAGTAGTCATTTAAAATTGATGTGATTACCTATATTTTGTGCTATCTTTTTTGTTTTGTTTTGTCCTTACTCATAGTTTTTGGATTTATTTCCAAATAAAATAATACATGCACTTCTACCTTGCATTAAAAAAGTAGATAATTAACTTATTTGCCTATTTAGTATACTCCTTTCTGCAGCGTACTACATTTTTACAAACACTGGAATAACATGTATTCTGATCTCTCTCTCTCTCTCTCTCTCTCTCTCATGATATGATTGCCGTTCAGGATTTCAGTGATGAGGATGCTAGTGAGAGTTCAAATGAAGATGATGATGAAGACTCCTCAAAGGTGTGAGAATGTTCGAGCTAACCTTTAGTGTTGTCATTGCTCATTATTTTTATGATATCCCGAAAGAACTGTATCTTTAATCCATTTTGACATATGCAGAGTGCTAAGGATAAGAATAGGCCAGCAGAAAAAGCCTTGAAGACACCTCCAGAGAAAAAGGCCAAGATGACAACACCATCTAAGGGCAAGAACACTGATGAGAAGTGTTACTTGTTAACTTGTCTAATTGTTGTTCCTTCCCATGCCACTTAAATCTCACTTTCTGATCAACTTTCATGCAGGCAGTGGTACTGGTATGAGAAGTGGCTATGTCCATGTCGCCACCCCTTATCCATCCAAGCTGGTGAAGAAGACGCCTTCAATCGTTGAGAAGCCTAACAACCTTCTGGATATGCCTGCAACTCGTGCAGCAGGTAAGTTCTCGGTCCTTTTATTCGAACCTGTCTCCACCTGATTTTGTCATATGGTATCGTTCTTTTCATGCAGGTGTTGTAATATATACTGACACACGAGCTTTTCTTCATATCCAGGAGTTTCAATTCCTACATAGCTCTGAATACTCATTGCAAGGTGAAGAAGCATAAGCGTAGTCCTCACATGAGCTAAAGTTTTTTTTCCCCTGGAGAAGCCTAGCTTGTGTAATTTGGACTTGGTCACTTGTCTCTGGTAGTGGTGGATGCCAAATCAGGTTTCTGGATTTTTATGCTAGGCTGCGTATAAAGAAGTTGCTTCTCTCGTTGGAGTACTGAATGCTATGTTTTGGTACTTTGAAGAATGGTCCACGCTATACTAGGGCGTTGGAATTTGGTCGCCAATGTGTTGGTTTTCTTCAGCTTTTCCTTTTCGCGAATGATGCATGGTCGATTCTGTGGTTCTTTCTCATTGCGCAAACGAATATTCATCTCTATTTCGTTGTGTCCACCAGTAACAGAGTAACGCCAGATATGAAAACAGACAATATTTCGTTTCCAAAAAAAGAAGAAGACAATAGCTGCTCGCAAAACTGAATTCTCGCACTACTCATAAAACGCTGCGAGCCCACTGGGCGAAACGAGAATTCGCAGGATCAAAAAAAAAACGAGAATTCGCATTCCCGCCAGGAGCTTGCTCTCTTCCCATCCTTGCCGGGCCCACTCAGTCCCTCACAGTCACAGCCGCTCCCAAAAGCACTCGAGAAGCAGCGCGGAGGAGAGAAGCCGCCGGCGCCGGGGACTCCGTGGCGTGCCTTTCTTCCTCGTCGAGACATGCGGAACAGCACTGGGGTTCGTACCGCACGCCGTGATCTTCCCTTTTGTTCATTTTCTCCGATCGCGCCTGCTCTAGTGGATATTAGGGGTGCATCAACCTCCTTGTATTGTGTCTCGTTGTTTGCTAGTTTGTGCTGGTAATCGGAGATGCTGGATCCAATGTAGAAAGGGTGAGAGGTTTGATCGATCTGTTCATCATCCCGTAGGTTCGTAGATGACCTTTGTGCGATTTTTCGTTTGCATTGGTGAAAGGTTTTTGTTATTTTTACTGGGTGAAGCTGGTTCCTTAACTGCTTGCCCAGTCGTTTATCACGTCTGACCATGACACTAGTACCGAAGAAGGTAGTGCTCTTGTTCTTTCATTATTGGACATCCTTAATGTATCGCATAAGTAGCATGGCGATTGGTGTTTTACATGATGAATCTGACGAGGAGGTTCCACTGGCTATTCCATTATTCCCTAATGGAGATGGTATATCCTTGTTCTACATAACAATTTTGTTTAAGAGGAAAGATTGCATTGCTTCTCTCTAAGTTATGACTGATTCATATATGTACATGTTTTATGTTTAGTTCGTGGTGCTATGTATCCACTATCCTCATTGTCTATGTGTCAGAATCTGCTAAATTAGTTAATATATATGAGCTCCCATTTGGATCCTTGAAGCACTCGCTTAACATTTTTTATGTTCAGATGACAAAAGCAAAGACAGTCCTCTAAACCAACGACTAGCTTGGAGGAAGCAAAGGATCCTGATAAACATAAAGCTGATGTTGGTGGCACTGAAGATGATGAAAGTCATGAACACTGTTGATTCAGAAGAGGGTGAATTGGGTGATGCTTAGGTTGGTATGAGTGATGAATCATGACTGAGATTATTTATTATGATGCCAGTAAACAAATTGAGCGGACAGCCAAAGTAGTCACCGATGCAGTTCTACCAGCACTGGATATCACGGGTATTCTGACCAGATTATTCGTTTGCGTAACATGGCTGATGCTCAAAATTCTAGTGATTAGGATGATAGTGAGAGACTGGGAGTTCAAATGAAGATGAGGATGAAGACTCTCCAAAGGTTTGAGCTTTGTAACTTTTTTTTCTCCTTCCTATGATATCCTGATATTGGTTCTTTTTTGCAGAGTATACTAACTACTAAGGGCAAGAATAGGCCTGCGGAAACACCCCTTGAAGACACCTCCAGGGAAGAAGGCAATGATCACAGCACCGTCTATGGGGAAAAAATTGGTGAGAACTGATACATTCAATCGCAAACTCGTGTAGCTCACAGTTCTCCTCCATGACAGCGGTACCTCAGTTTGTGATGTACTACTAGGTAGTGGTGCTGCTAAGAAAAGTGGCCAGATCCATGTTGCGAGCCTTTAAAAGTGGTGTCGGTGTTTCGAGTTATCACTACTAGTAAATTTCTAGTATTTCGTGTCTGACTCGGATGGTGTGTTTAGAGAATACGAGGTTTATACTGGTTCGGACATAAAGTCCATACGTCTAGTTCGTCGCTGCTGCTCGTGTTAATAACACTGAGAGTTTGTAGTAGGGGTTACAAACGAGCGAGAGAGGGAAAGGATCCTAAGTCTCTGGTGAAAGGAGTGAGTGGGTTCTGAGAGCTCGATCGCTACTTGGTTGTGCGTTCGTGTCGTGCTCTTGTGTGGATCTGTATCGATCTTGATGGGTCGATCGGTTCGAGATCCCCTTTATGGGGTGCCCTACTTTCCTTTTATAAACCAAGGGAAAGCGCAGGTTATAACGGAGGCAAAGGAGAAGAACGAGAGAGAGAAAGGCCTCCAGGATCGCCGGATCCTTCTTTTCCTTCATGCGGGTCCCGCCAACCCTGTAGATGTCAATAGGGACGGCTCCATGTCGCGATCCTGTCCGTCACTGGCACCATGCGCAGGCGTCATCCGCCGGTCATAGCGCTCCACTCCGTCCTGACGGACGTCGTGGTGAACTGACGCGCCTGTCAATGTTCGTACGATGGTTAGGCAGAACAGCACCGGTACACCCGACGCTCTTCTTGATGTGAATCCTCATGTATGGCTTGTCGTGGCTGCGGGTTACATCGGAGCGTGCCGGTCTCTTCCTTGGTGTCAGAGTTTTGACCCAGGCCCATACGCTTGGACCTGAAGTGGTTGGCGGCGGTATAGGGTCCCCGTCGAGCGAGACGGAGCCCGCACCCAAGGGGTCTAGCGAGGCGGAGCCCGCGGTCTTGGGGTCGGGCAAGGCGGAGCCCACGCACCTAGGGGGTCGGTTGGAGCTGTAGACGCGCTCTTAACTGCTCGGTTAAATCAATATTGATGATCATTAGCTCCTCCTCTTCGGGTACCCTAGTATTGGTCCCCGACATAGCCCCCGAGTCTGTGGAGGAGTAGAATACTCATTCGGAGGCTTTTTCGAATGGGAGGACTCTGACGGCGTGTCCTGGGGACGGCGATTCCCTTTCGTCGTGATCGAGCCTCTCGGGGGTATAGCCGTGAGATTTGGTGGGTCGGAAAAGGTCTTTCCTGATTTCGACCCCTACAGGGGTCTGTCGTTCTGCGACCGTGCATTTGGTCTCCTTGCGAGTCCAACTTTCCTTAAGCCCCCGCACGTAGCAGGGGTCCTGTCGAGGGTCGGCTCGTCTTCGTGATCGTCTTTGCTCAAACGTTTTTTTCGATAAAAATGGAGGGGCTGAGCCATGCCATGATTTTCCTCTATGGACGAGCCATGGTGCTCGGTGAGTTGTTAACGGGCTAGTTCGAGTGGGGCCCCGGCATCCCATTTGCGGGGGTCCGGCTTGGGTCAGCTGGTGACCAACTCTAAATTCTCAACAGTCAATCCATATAGTTCTCAGGTCCGTTCGATCGGTCCCGAGGGCTATCTGCCTTTCTTCGAGGAAAACCCATGGATCGAATCCGCCCGAGGCTCGAACGTGGGCTGGGACACCCGCGACGCTCGTGCGCCTGGGCACTAGCCACTAGCGGGCCCATCCCTTTCCACCCCTCACTCTAAAAGTGCCCAGAGCGGTTGTCAAACCCGTCGGTGGGCCAACCTTCGAACTCCTGGGCTTAGACGGGTCGTAGGATCTTTTTCAGCTCCGTATCCCTCTTACTTGTGGCGGGTCGTGGCCCGTTCGGAGGTGAAACGTCTAGCGCGTTTTTTGAGGGGATGGCCATAGGTTGCGTGCACACGCCCCGCGACGAGATGTGGTGACAGGCCATGGCAGGCACGGAGATCTAGGCGGTGGTTGGTTTTCTCGCACCTGTCACCCCTATAAAACCAAAGGGTTAGCCCTCTAGGTTTCATATGCATGCCTGCATCCTAGCCTCCGTAGCCACGCCGCCACCACCAATGTTTAGGTTTCCTGCCTCCGCATCTCCGCCGCCGTTGAGCTCGCATCCATCCGCTCCCACCTCCAATCGACGGCTACATGGTATCGTTCGCCCACTTCCACTAGCGTGGGCTTGCGACCCTCACCCACAAATTCCTCCGGGGGCTACTGCACTTCTACAAGATTGAGCTACAGCATATCAATCCCAACGGGATCTAGCACATGGCGGCGTTCGTCGCGCTGTGCGAAGGATTCCTGGGGATCAGCCCCCCTTCGACTTGTGGAGGTATTTCTTCACTGTCAGTCTCTAGAGGAAGAGGGAAAAGGGCGGCAGGTAGGAGCTACACATACCGATGGGGTGCGCCGGCATTTAACTAACTTCGAAACAATCAGGTCAGCGAGTACCCATCCATGCGGCTCTCGACATCCAATAAGGGGTGGCACTCGCAGTGGTTCTACCTCAAGAATGACGCCGCCGCCCCTCTGCCGGAGTTCATCGGGCGCCTGATCGAAGAGGCATCGGAGCAGTGGAGGAAGTGGGGCGTGCCGGAGAAGGACAAGAAGAAGATTCGAGACCACATCACCGCCATCCACATCCTAAAGGAGAGCGGACCGAAAGGGTCAGGCATCATCGGGGCCTACCACACGAGGAGGGTGGCGCCGTTGATGACGCTGCGCGCTCCCGCTATACGCGATGGCGCCCGAGGCGTCGTTCGACGGAACGACGCTCGCCGAGGGAACGCTCCCCAACTCTAAGATTGCACAACACATCAAGGAGGTGATGGAGCCTTTGCGGGACGATGCGGGTGTCGGGGCATCCTCTGATGCGGCCGGAGCCAGGCTATGTCATCTTCATAGGTTTCCCTTTCTCCTGCCTTCTCTTCAATTGATTTCCTGACCCTGTGGGACTAACTTTGAGAGGGGCGGGACCAGTCAAGGGACCTCATCCTCATGGATCACCTGGCTCCACTACCAAGGGATTCGGCCATGAGGGCGGCAAATCACGCCGAGGGTGAGCGGCTAAGAAAGGCGAAGGAGGACAAGAAGAGGAAGAAGCAGCAGAAGCTGCGGGCGTGGGAACAAAGTGAGGACACCAACAATGATGATGACGATGATGATGATGATGACGATGAGGTGGTGGTGGAAGAAGAAACGGTAGCCAATGATATCGAGTAGAACAACCTGGAGAATGAGGATGCGCTGACAGCCATCGGTTCGTCCTTGCAGGCGTCGGGACCCATCCCATCCCACGGAGGGGAGGGTACGTTTGGGGAGCCAACGGAGGCAAGACGTACCGCCGGCCTGCCCCAGGTGCTAGCGGAGGTGGGTGGCCCCACCGTCGCGCCCCAACAGCCAAGGGGACCAGGGAGTTCCGCCAACGTGCCCTAGGAGCTGCCCGAGGTGAGCCCCTCTGCCTAGGAGCATGGGGCGGGCTCGAAGCGGCCTCATTCTGATGAGGCAGAGCAAGGGTCGGGGGTTCATCCCCCTTATGCATCTACCACCCAACGGCGTCGAGGTGAGTTATCGATTGCTCTGTTTTTTCCTGTTTTAGTCGGATTTCATCGTGATTTGTGTTTTTCATCCTTTATAGCGTCGGTAGGCAGCAGAATCCCTTGGCGCTGGTGCCGAAGAAGCGCATTGCCCTCTAATCGGGGCGGCAGCAGAATCCATTTCGGGCGAGATCGGCGCTAGTGTGACCGCGTCGCCGGGCGGTCAGGCACCACCCGTGGTAGCGCCTATGCCCTCGGCGGGATGGGCGGATACGGGGGCTATACTCTTAGACGCGTACGGACTCTTTCTATAGTTAAGGCTAGAAAGCTCGGGGTGCGGAAAAAACTCTGATCACGCTGGTGAGCAAAAATGTCGTAGCCGCTGGGACATAGGTTTCTTGCATTCCGATCAGTTTTACTCAGCGTCTGTTTCCGCAACCTTTGCTTCTGGGTTTTAACGTGAGAAAGGGTCGGGCGTAGAGAATGTCCACCGGATAGATATGCTCATATCAGCCCCCGAGTGAGGCCCGACCCCCTGCCACTGCTGGGGTCGGGGTTCACTAAAGATCGAGGAGTTGGTGGCGAAACTGATAAGAGAAACTGTGCGTATATTAAGGGTAAAAATAACATAGTTGTTTGATATTCCAGGCATTGACAAAGACTTCGCTATCAATGGTCTTGAGCTTGTAGGTGCCTGGTCGGAGCACCTCCGTGATGACGTACGGTCCCTCCCATGGCGGAGAGAGTTTGTGGCGGTTCTTGTTGCTCTGGACGAGGTGAAGCACCAGGTCCCCGACATTAAACACCCGACCCCGTACTCAACGGCTATGGTACTGGTGTAACGCTTGCTGGTACTTGGTCGAGCGGAGGAGGGCAACATCGCGCGCTTCATCTAGCTAGTCCATGGCATCCTCGAGGGATGCCTCGGCTCCCTGTTCATCATATACCCTGACCCTCGGCGCTCCATAATTGAGGTCGGTCGGGAGGATAGCCTTGGAACCATAGACCATGAAGAGTGGTGTGTAGCCGGTG